GGCATGACCGGTTTGGGGGGGATTGTTGCCTACCTCGGTGCAATGGTCGCGGCCGGAGGGATCAAGGGGCACTGGGGGGACCTTTTCGGTACCCCCCCCCCCCCCCCCTGCCCATGACAGCAGTGCAGTAGGAGTGAAAAAGAAGAGATGGGTCTTGGCTGGTAATGTCTACCGGAGATGGTGACAACAAGATGTTGCCGTTTGTTGGTGAAGGACAACAAGTGATGTTGATTTTTCCGTTGAATAACTTGTCGTCCGAGAAGAGATACATGTAACTGGTGTATATTTAAGGATCGCCCGAGAGTTGGTTTGTGCGTGTCTGCTGTGTATGGGGTTGCCTGAAGTATTGGTGTATAGGTGCGTCGTCTTGGTAGGAATACGAGCCCGCTGGCCCATTGCCTACAGTACAAGCAAACAGCCACTTAGAGAATATCTCCCCGGGCATCTCTGCCTCTGCAGCAGGTTTCCACTGTTTGTTTTTCCAACGCACGTGGAGGGAGACGTTACTTTATTTACACTATTGTTGGAGGATCATATCCGGAGATTGGAGAGGGTTTGTACGAGAGTATGGCCAGTTATTGGTGGTAGGTTTTCCGACGTGGAGTTCGGGGGCGCCGTGATATGTTTCAACCCATCCCCCCGTCCGCGTTTAATGTTTGCCAGAGGCGGTTGGGAAACAGACCATCGGCGCTCGGTGCTTGCTTTACAGAGAGACAGGTCCCCTTGCAATCAAACCGTCGACCGATGGGTTTTTATTGCTTTGCGACCTACGTTTTGTTCCGTGAGCGCTTGACATGCGGTCCCTTTTGGTAGCCCATGTTCGCTTTTCCTCAAGACATGTTGGAGAAACTCAATGCATGTGCACTAACTATAAGTTGCGCCATTTTGTCAATGCTGAGCTACCGTGTGTGTTATGTTTTCCGAAGATGCTGTACCCTTTTCAAACCGTTGTCTGTACCCCTCTTTTGTCACACCCCACAGCCCATTGCGGGTTGGACGCCGTGTTCCACTACACCACCTGGGGTGTCTGGATCTCCGTAGCCCTGGTTCGCGTGTACCGGAGTTGGAAGATCCTCATCAAGCACTCGGTGGAAATGTGGCCGCCGTGGGCCCAGGTGTTGCTGCTGACAGTCCCGTGGTGGTGAGGACTAGAAGACGAAAACAAAGGGTGCATGACGAGCAGTTTCTCGCACACCTGTGTAGGAACCTTCCAAGGGTCTCGGGGGATGGTACTCTCAATCCAAGTGAAAACGAACATCCAAAAATGTGTGCGTTTATTTTTTTATTTTCCAACTTTGCCCAAAAGCGTCACACCACGGATTTTTCTATTATGTTTCGACCTGTCAATCTAATGGGTATGATAGTTATCCATTTCATTTTTCTTGTTACGCCCTTGCCTATGCACGGCGGAAGATTCGCGTGCGCACATCCTTTATGTTTACGCTAGTAGTATGGTACAAACTGGTACAAGCGACAGATGTTCCTTTTTTTTCATTGCTGTTGCTACTTGTTTGAGCGGAGACTCAATAAATGTTTTGCAGCTTGCCGTGGTGTGCTTTGAAGAACGTGAGAGTACTGCGATACGGTGTGTGGGAACATCAGCCGATCGAGACGGACCAGTTTGCAGACAGGCGGCGCTCTATCTCGCTGGTCGTGTTGCCCGTAGTGACGATCGAAGTGGTGTCCCCTGACAAGTACGAATGCCCGTTTAAAATGGTTAACACTCGCACACGGGTCTGTGTTTGTTGTGAACATGGTTGGAAATTGGTAACTGACTCGTTTACAGAGCTAGCCAGCCATCGCTTCTCCGTGTGACATTCATTTTCCACGCACTTCTTCCTACTGTTAGTTGTGGTGATGTCTTCCATCCGGTGAGACTGCTAGCGCATGTATCCCCTGCCGATTACGAAACAGCGTATCCCCTTCCCTGCTTCTGCCCCGAAAAAACATGCAGCATTCCCGCCGTGGCGTACACCATCGACGACCACCTGTCCCGGTTCAACGAAGTGCGGAACTGGTGTGAGATCTACCGGCCGATCGACACCTTCACCTATATATTGGGGTCCTCCCTGATCGCTAGCGCCTTCGTGCTGGTGTACCAGATGCGAAAAGTCCGCAAGCAGATGAACGAGTACCGCCTACAGGTGGGAGGTGTCGGATTGCCTACGCCAGAAAGTAAAGTGATAACGCAAAAAGACCAGGGAAGGAGCACGCAGACCCGTACCATAACCCCGACCCCAACCTAGCCGGTTCTATACTTCATCCAGTATGTTTGCTTGCTTAGAAAAATGTGCGAAGACTGCTGGATGTGTTTCCTGTCTCCTGTGATGGGCACCACCAAGAGATGGCTCCGGAGTGGGCTCATGTTAAACCCTAAGTAGCACCGTAAGGGGTGGTGATGCGAGATGGAAGTGAAAGCAGACAGCAGGACCCGCTGCCAGTTTTTGACGCTTCCCAAGCTCAACAGCTCACCTCACACGGCTGACGACGTGCTTTGACTCGAAAATGGTTCCTTCGGCTCATTTGTTGCTGTTCTTGTTTTTGACTTGTGCGTGCGTGTGTTTTGTTTTTTCAGGTTTTCCAGCTGGCGTTCCTGCTCTTGACCGGCAGTGTGGTCTTCCCGCTCCAGCACCTCTTGCTCGACAATAAACACGGGATCCGGAGGATCTGGGTCCTTTACCACAACTTCTTGGTGAGTGATCAGTTCTTGCTGCTGTTGTTTTTGTTTTTGTGTTAGCGATAGTTGCTGTTGTTGCTGTCGGGTTGAGCGTTTGCTGTCGTGCCCGTAAGAGCTTGCGTACGTCTTGAGAGCTTACGTACGTCCAAGTGGATCTATCTCCGCAGTATCGTCGCTTCCCACTACTCTGCTGCAAGTACATGTTGGACAGACAACCGCTCATCCTTTGACACACGGCTTTTGCAGCTGTCCCAAACCCAGACTGCGTTTACTTCACAGTCGCTGGAGGCCCGCCATGCATCATCTCCCTCAACCCCTCGGATACATCGATCCGACTTTATATGGATCAAACCAAACCCGAGGACCGTTGTCCCCTGTGACCGGGCGTTACCCCCCTTCTCGCGCACGCCTGTTGCGATGGGACACAACCTTGGCCTTGGTTCGTTGTTCATCTCCTGCCCCCCGGTGGCAAGAGAAAGCCCCATCCCCTTTGTACAACCGCCTGTTGCAAATGGAATGGAAAACCTCGAACAGGAATCATCGGTCCTCTTCTGCCCCCCCGATGGCAAGAGAGAGCCCCATCCCCTTTGTGCCCATGCCTGTTGCAATGGAATGGAAAGCCTCAAGCGGGAATCGTTGGTCCTCTCTTACCCCCCGATGACAGAGAATCCCCCGTCCCCTCTGTACACGCGCCTGTTGCAATCGAATGGAAACCCTCGAGCAGGACTCTTTGGTCCTCTTCTGGCCGCCGATAGCCGAGCCCATGTACCGGTACCTCACGGGAGACGTCGACTACCTCAACAGCTACACCCAAGGCTTCTCCACGCTCCCGACACCGGCTCAGGTGGGTGGGCAGCGCGAGTGCGGTTTGTGCTTTTTTCACCCACGTCTCGCTACCGTAAGTTGCAAAAGATTCCACAATCCGCCTGGACCTAAATTGAAAGCTCGACTACTATTGTACTACTCCACGACGAAGTGGGTGCCAAAAAGAAACGATGCTTTGTCGGAAAGCTCTCGACGAGCCGGTGCCAACGCCGACATTTTCGGCAGAACACACATTGTTTCTTCTGCGGAGTTAATCGAGCTTTAAACAGTGGTCCGGGGGGGGGGTGGTATCTTACGCGACCTGCGTTGTTCGGCTGGCCAATCAGCAGGCATCATTTTTTTTGTGCGTGTGTGTGCGGCTTTCGGTAGCGCCGAAGAGCACACCGTCGTGTAGCCCCTTACCGTACAATAGTACAGCAGTCGTTGTCCTTGTTTTGCGGTCCATGTTTTGTTGTTGTCACCTCGCCGGACAAGCTCGTTGATCCAGGCCACCCCCCTGTCGCCGTGAGCCTGTTGCGTGCATCTATAGCTTCCTGTGTCACAAAATCTTGTAACCGCTGTTGAGGACATCGCCTCTTAACCGGATTGGCAGTTATATCGTAGTTTTGACTACCGAGGTGCAGCTGCTGTGCCACGAGATTTTGGAACCGCTATTCAGGGCATCCCGCTAAACAGGGAAGGAACCGCTGAACCGGGACCACGACTGTAGTAGTAGACAGTCCGCCTGTGTCACCGAGACAGCGACAAAAAAAGTGAACCATGGTCGAAGTGTGCTCGTGGGTGAGTCGTTCTTTTGAAGATTTATTTAGATCTTTTATGGTGGAAAGATTGTCCCTGGTTTTGGCATCGCAGGCACCGGCTGCGGTGCTTGCCCGACTGGCCAATCAACGGCTATCATCGGTCTCCTTGGAGGGCGGGGGCAGGGGAGGGGGGTTGTCTTGTTGGTGCTTCTGCTGCTGCTGCTGCTGCTGCTGCTGCTGCTGCTGTTATTGTTGTTGTTGTTGTCGTACTGCATGCGAGGTTTTCTCAAGACTTTTATCGTGTGCAATCAAATCACAGAACATTCTCGCAAGAACAATACTGTAGAGACAGAAACCAAAAAACGAAGATATTGAATTTTCATTGTTTCTTTTTCGTTGCTGTGGGTGCTGGCATATACGGTATCAGGAATTTCCCGCAACCTGTGTTTTCGTTCTTGCAGATGAAGGGCTCGTTGCGTGATCAGCTCTCCCTCGACGAGCTCCGAACGGAGTTCCAGAAGTTCGCCGAGAACAGGATGGCTAGAGAGCTGCCAGAATTCTACCAGGTGCTGTATTTTCGATACCACCATAGCTTTCGTTGTCACCACGTGTTCTGCAGCACTTTTTGTTTCTTCTGAAACTGCTGTTGAAGGGGAAGCACTTATGTACTTCTACCAGGTATTCCACCAATTGTTTCATTGTTGCCAGGTATTTTGGGGTGCTCTTTACGGTCTGTTAGTGACTCTTCCCATCTACGGGCTGTCACGCCCTCTGATTGGTCGACCGTTGGTTCGGGCGATCGATTCCTCTTCAGTGCCCTCTCTCTATTCCGCATCCGACAACGCGTCGCAGCCGGGTTTGAGCACAGTTCGCGGCCGCTAGGCCGTACTTTGAGCGTGGGATAGAGTTAGGGTGGGTTGGGTCGGCCACCGTGTGTGGCACATTCCATGTAAGGAACCTGGGTTCAACGTTTGCTTAGACCTAAAGAGTCACTGACAACCCGTACATATACCCCCGTGTTGTTCTGAGCTGGCGTTGAAGGAGAAACACACGGAAAACGCTTCTAAATTATCAGTCAGTTTTTGCCTTCTTTCTCATTATATGTTACGCCCTATGATCCGACGTTTTTTCTACAAATTGTTCAAGGGGAAAAACACATCGAGTACACGCCTCTACCCCGTACAGCCTGGTTATCCACTGGGACACACTCAACGGTGAAATCGACACCCAGAAAGGACAAACCAGACTACCGTTGACACAGACAAAGCGGTCCACCTCGTAATCCCATCCTCCCTTTTGTCAATTCTACTCTCTTGCGATCTGGCCCATGCTGCTGCTTTGTTCGCCCATCAAGAACGATCGAACAATCGAATGTTCGGCAGCTTGCTCTGAATCACCGGCCTACCCTTTTTCTTTTCTTTTTTCTCTCATATTGTCTTTGCAATGAAAACAGGCGTGTCTCGACCGGGATGAGATCGAAGACTTTTTCGGCAGACAGGCAGCTACCACCGCCATCATCGATAGGTAAATGTCGCTGTTTTCTCTTTAGTTATGTTTGTTTCTCTTGGCATGCCTCTTTGTGCCCGGCGGCACTGCTGTAGTTTTTGTGCTTGGCGGAATGGAAAGACTGCCGCCTGCTTCGGAACCATCTGGTACTGTGCCCTTTTTGTGCGTGACGGAATGCAATCCAGACCCCTGCTTTGAATATGTATCCTGGCATGTTCCTTTATTGTGCTCGATGGTGTGGAAACATTTCCGCCGGTTTCAAGTACAGCTAGCTCGTTTTGCTGTCTGTCCCTCTCTGCTGGCGAAAACCCCGCGCCGGCGTCACGACTCAGAAATGCACAAGCTTGGCAATGAACCAATGAACCACTCAGCATCAGCATGAACACGAACTCCATGGGTATAAAGTAAAGTCACAGCACTCTCGGGACCCCACTGCGCTTGACACTTTGTTCTTCTAGTGTTTCGATACATGACATGAGCGGTACATGACGCACCGCACCAGCCACTGTACCAATGAGAACACTTCAAGTGCAGGGTGATTTGGTATGTACAGCATGTATTTTGTTTTTTGCGTTCATGTTTTTACTTTGTTTGTTTTTTCCCAGGTTTATTCGATCCGGATCGGAACAAGAGCTCAACATCAGCGATCGCATCAGGAACAAAATTCTACTCACCGAAATCACGAGGTGAGTTGTGTAGAAACTCATGGGAACACACACACTTTTGGCGGGGAGACTTGCTGCCAGAACTCGACACCTAAGAATCTGTCGCGACACTTGCTCCGCCTTGTCGTTCTGAAAGAGGTCTTGTGGCAGCTACATCACTCGTTCAGGTCGTAACCTATATCGTGTCATGCTAACAACGTTTTCATTTTTTTGGTGAGTATTGAATCGCGCGCTTTTTTTGTTTTTTTTAACCCAAGTGCGTGTACTCTCGACTATTATCACCTTCTCGATCCGAGGTAATGATTTCCCCCCTCGTCATAGCGAATATCTTGATTGTTTTCTCTTCTCTGTAATTGCATCACGTTTTTTTTTTTTTAATCTTATCTCTCTGTATGTAGTTGTACGGTGGTTGCTCTTTGATATTTTCTCTCAGTATCATCGGTTCTTTTTGTTCTTCCCTTACCTGGCCTTACTACTCCTCAGCTACAACATCTTCAACGAAGCCATGTCTGTGGCGGTGACAATGATGGACACCAACTTTAGCGCGGCATTCAAGCGGAGCGAGGCCTACAAGCAGCTCGAGAGGAATGTCCGAGACGAGGCGGAGGAGTTGGAGAGGCTCAGGAAGGTGGGTGGGCAGCTAGCTGGGTGGCAGGTATTTGTCTCCTTCGTTCTTGAATGTGGGTTGCTGCTGCTGTTGTCGTAGTTGTTGTTGGTGGTGATGATCCAACTCGGGTAGATTTTTTCACGTTTCGGTGCGACGATTCATGCGTTGCTTGTAGCTGTTGCCCTGTCCGCATGTTCTTTTGTTGTCACAAGCGTTTCGTCGTATCATTTCCATCACAGGAAATACAAATAGACAGGAAATACCTCCTCTGCCACCCCAGAAACGACAAGAGCGGAGGTTTTGTTTCGCTTCTGCACCAAAACAAAATAGTAAGAAATGATGCATGGGAGGGCCTTGACGTATTTTTCCAAAACCCGTTGTCGGTGTGTGTTTTGCTGTCATGCTGTCATCTTCACTTAGAACCTCTGGCGAGAGCACCTACGCCGAGCTGAAACTCTCGAGTCTGTCTACCGCCCGCGCCCCCCCTTCTTCCATTTTCAGATGAACCAGTTGCCGCCCAAGAATCACGTCCCGACAGAGCCGAAGGGGCTTGTGAAGGTATTTCGGCGGTTCTTTCCCCCGCCTCCCGGTGAGGCTTCTCTCATATCGAGTTCATCGCGCTCGGGCGGGAGCTCCGTGGGAGGGAGGGAGGGCTCCACGACGTCTTCTCATCCTAGCGCTACTACGGTGAGGTTTGTTTGCTGGTGTGGTGGTTGTAACTGTTGTTGTCATTGTCGTTGTTTGCTGTTCATATTGCTGTTGGTCAGGTTGTTTTTTGTCATTGTTGCAGTCGTTGCTGCTGTTGATACCGCTCATTCTCAACCGCCTTTTTTGCCTCATCCCACGTGTTTTTATGTCGTTGCTCTCAGGAATGTACTACCAGGATGAGCATGAAGATGATGAGCAGCCACAGCCTCTTGCGGCCCGAAAGCGGGGGGCATGCAGGGGCAGGTGCGGCGGTGAGGGGAGACGAAAGCGATCTCGACGTGTGACGTGGGGTCATGCGGTGTACTGCATGAATGCCGGGTTAGGACAAACAAACTCAACCTGTGATGACACCCAATCTGCCAACGAGGCCTGTTTTTCGGGGGCCATAGGAGACAAGACGTTTTGGGGGGAACAGACGGAGGCGGTTTTTCGCGGACAACGGAGGCATTGTTCATGTGACGGAAGGAGGCGTTTTCTCGGGGGTCAAATGAGGCGTCTTGTACGGGACGGAAGGAGGCAGTTTTTGGGGGTCAAATGAGGCGTCTTGTACGGGACGGAATGAGGCGTTTTCTCGGGGGCCAAATGAGGCGTCTTGTACGGGACGGAATTTGGCATTTATTAAGGAGACGGAATTAAGCTTTTTGTAGGGGATGGAATGAGGCGTTTCAGGGGGACGGAAGGAGGCGTTTTCAGGATATGGAAGGAGGCGGAAGGGAGTCAGTCCAGCAGTGTATTGGGAGGACGGAGAGGGAAATGTTTTGCCGTCGATGAATCAGTTTTAGAGTGTGACCGGGCGAAGGACTGTGTTTCCGGCTCGCGCTGGTATTGCCGTTGCCTGGCGTGTGGTAGACGCGGTGTTTAGTTCATGGTTGCACCGGTTGTTGAGTAGAGTGGCGTTGTGTTCGCGCCAGGGACCAGCAAGGTCGCTCCGCTTCTCGCTATGAACATTGAACGGTTATTTGTTGCATATGTTTTGTTTTTTTGTTTCAGAAATATTGCTTATCTTACATCCATAGACGAGCTTGTGGGTAATTTTTCTTCTGTAGTGTTGCACGCGACAACAACATAAGGGCCGCGGCTAGATCGTCAATTCCCCGGCAGAAACTGAGAGATTTTTTTAATCGAAGGTGTTTCTGGTCCGAGCGCAGGTAGCACGATTCACGGATATGGCGGCCCACGGTTCAGTTTTGTTGGATGGATGACCGACCGTACGGTATGAAAACGGCTTCCTGGAGGATCGGCGATTTGTGATGTACACGTACGTTGGTATGGGAATAATTTCATTGTTTTGTTTGAGTGTTTTTTGCGCGATTGTCGAGAATGTTGCCAGGTAAAGCAGTAAATCATACCAAAGCGTTACCTTTGTCCCTTCTCGCAGACTCTGGTTGCTCGATTCGGGAATAGAACTTTCCCGCACCGAGTGTGAGCTTGGGCGTCGATTGCGAAGGTTGGCCCTCTGTTTCGTTCGTTGGTTCTGCTTCTCCCGGCCGGATAGTAACCCGTACCGTATTGTGTTTGTGTTTTCCGTGGTACGGGTGTCGGCGAGTCGCCGGGCGTGGCTTGTTTTCTTCTCGCCTTTTTCCTCTTGTGCTCATCGGGCTGGCCACACGTGGGGTTAGGGTTGGCGCTAGGGTTAGCGACCCTCAACTTGTTGTCCGCATCATCCCTCCTTCGGCATTGTTGCGGATGATGTCGTAGTGCCACTCACTATGTAGACAAACATCATGGTGTCGAAAATGTTGATGCGCACCCTCTTTGGTGTCTGTGTTGTAGAGCTGCGATTTGGAGCCGCCGGAAATTACGAGAAAGAGACAGCGAAACGGGGTTTTGACGTCGTTTTGATGATGTGAAGGATAGCTGTGTGCTCGATAGACGTCTTTAGGCGTGTGGCCACTTCGTTGTCATTGTTGTTGTGAATATATGTTTTTGCCCAAAACTTGTCCTTCGTTTGTTATACCTTCCACAAACTGCGCTCGTGGGGGCGTACGTATTTATACCATACCCGGTGTTTTTTGCAGTTTCGCGGAAGCCGCTGTTTTGTCCCCGGTGTTTTTTTTTTTCGTCGAAACAGGGTATGGAAATTTGGTGGAGCTGGGGGCTTCTCACTCTTGTCTGAGGTCAGACCGAAAAAACTTCGCGAACGCGCCTAGAACAGACTTTGGGAGCGCAGCGGGGGGGGGGCGACGGTGCTGCTGTTGTTTCACTATAGGTGTGAATTTTTCGGCCTACTACAATGGAATCCGTCGTCGAGCCCCCAGAGGCAATCAATTTATGGTCTTGTGTCGTATGCGGGAGTAGGCGTTTTGGTCCGGGGATGGTCTGTTGGTATCCCCTCCCTCGAGATGGAGATGAGAGCTGTGTGCGGGCCATCGGTAGGTGGCTGCATCACCCTGGCTGGTGCGAGATGTAACGTAAGTTGTTGTTTGGTGGTGGTTCGAGAATGTTGTGACGTTATGTATATCCAGGCGCGGAAGTCTGTAGTATTCACACCGGATATTTGTTTCAAGTGGCTTGCCGTAAGGTGTATGTATATGGGGGGCAGCATTCGGCGGGACCGACATTCCCTCGAGGACTCTCTGTGATGAAGGAGGGGGGGGAGACTTAGCCGTGACATGATTGATGCTTCGTGCGTGTCCTCAGCGCTCCTCACGTTGTGTCGCTTGTGAATCCGTCATCCACCCCAGGTTGGGTGAGGTACAGGTACAGGTATAGGTACGTGTAGGCAACAAGCTTGGTGTAGGAGTAACATTACCGGTGCTGCTTGCGACCTGTGGCAGATAGATAGCTGATGACCGATGTTCGCTGCGTGAGACCTTTGGCAGAGAGCTGGACTGCTGTGGCTCTTGGATATTCCAGCGTCGGTGTTCGGCGTGCGCACCCAGTTTTCTGGTTGTCTTGTTCTTATTTCGCGGTTGTCTTGGCATGAACCAAAATAATATCGTTGTTTTGACCTGTTGTTGTCGTCTTGGAGTTAAATTTGGTTGTTCTTACCTCTCTCTTTCCTACATCACCTATTCTTCTTTCGGTGCTCTCTCGCGTAGGTCTAACGGAAACTAAAGGCAAGGGTAGATCTTTCAACAATCTTGCGCTGGGCCCCCTCCCCGTTGATGGGAGATCGTGTGGGGGATGCGAACGGGGAACCTCTTTATTCGTGTCGGCACAGCCAATCTCATGCGGATCCCGCGTGATCGATTTTGCGTCCCCAAACCTAAAAAATACGAGAAAAAAAATACGCAGCACAAAAACACAAGCGACAACACAGTAGTAACATCTGAACGATCGATGATGCATGAGGCGGCCACACTCTTCATATTCCTCTCTGGATAATGTGAGTTCTAAGCGCTCTGGATAACGTTTGTACAGTAAGATCTTGTGAGTGAGGTGGATGCATAATAAATTGTGTTCCCATGCGAAGCTTGAGGCTCCTCGAGCCATCGGGATCTAGACCTGACATAATCATCATCGTCTGTCTGTGTACACCTATACTGTGCACCTATTGTCATTGTCCACGGGGTTGCACTTTCGTTCTCACCCCCCAACATCGCTACTTGCTATTTTTCTTTGCGTGTCATGGTTTCTTAGCCTCTATAGTAGCCTGAGTTTTTTTGTGGGTGTTTTGTATCATGTGCGGTGATGTCGCGTTTCAGGGTAATTCAGTTTGGCGTGCAGTTGGGCCGGTCGGATTCAAGAAGGGGCTGAGCAAGTCCGCAAATATTACACATTTTCGGACTGGGGCTCCAAATTTGCTGAGATAAGGAAACAAGGAAACATATTTTGAGATAAGAAAGTTTCCTGGAAACTTCCTGCAGGCGAATACTTTCCGATTTAAGGCGGCTTCATGTGATTGGCTGTGGGACGACAGTCACCCAACGAACTTCCCCTGTTCGCAGGAACTGATTATTTTTTCCTTATCTTGGGTTCTGGCGAGACTGTCAGGAACGATCCTCAGAACGATGGCTTAATTAAAAAAACACACACACACACATACACACTCGTTCTCCGGACCCCGAGAAAATTTCTGTGCAATGCCCTCAACCCGAACTACTGCTGGTGCTGTACCCATTACATATACGCAAGAGGGCCCAATGTATGCATCACGACATGCACCGATCCCTTCGTCGACTGAATCCTACACAATCTACACCCGCGCAGCAGTCAGCGCTTCGCTGCCTGCTTCCATCAGCTACACGGCCCCAACCGGGGGCACGACATCCAGAGAAGGCGCATAGACAGATAGGTGCGAAGCCGACCAACCGCTGTGGCTCTTCCCGACAATGTCTGTCTGCTGCTAATAGAAAAGCCGCTAGATAGCTAAATAGAGTGGAGTGGAGTGTTGGAGACGTGAAGACGTGGAGACCGTTGACTGCTGTTGATGTAACCACTGCTGTTAAGTGTGTTGAAGCTGCTGTTGGCTGCTGCTGACTGGAGGTGGAGGACTGCGAACAGTCCCGGCGACAGTCCCAACACGACAAGGTGTTCCGCTTTCACTTGCTCAACAGCACGCCGGCAAACAACCGGCAGGCCTCCCTGTGTGGCATGGCCAGTGTACCAGTACCGCTGCACCGTCACTCTAACTCGTCACAGGAAGTAGGCTTTGGAGAGTGCGCGGCACGCTGAACTCACACTGCTTGGCATCGCGACCAGCAAAAATACGAAAACTAACAAAGAGGCTTGAGGGTAGGGTCTGATCCAGCAGCACGAAAAAAAAAATGAGGAGGCGTGTTTTCTCAATCCCGAACGGGGCACTATAAGTCATACCTCTAAACTGCTGTTGCTGTTGCTGCTTGCTGCGGATGTACATGTACGAACAAAGGCGGCCGAGGGCAACAACTGGAACATTTGTGGTTGCATCTCGAACGGGTAGACTAGTCTTTTTGTGTTTGTATTTATATTTCCTTATTATCTGTCACTCAAGCTGCGAGCCGAAGATGCACTACTCTGTAGGTTCTGCAGCAGTCCCTACTGTGAAGCGTCAAGTTTAGATAGATGTGGCTACTACTGTAGTCCATCGGTGAATTGGGGCTTGTAAAAAACTTCCGTGTTGATACATACTAGTGTATTTTTGCAATGATGACGTAATCAATATCGAAGCACTGGCCAGTCGGTTGTCCCTATGTTGTGTGTTCAGTTGGAAGAATACACAACCCTGATGGTGTATATTGCCCTCCGGTACAAGTTCGAGTTAACGGTCGACGATAGAAAGCGTCGGCTACACTATTTTCTCGTTCAATCAATAACGTGACCACCGCAGAAGGCAGACGGAAAACTCCTGTTGTTGTGTGGCCTTCCTCCCTCCTGACCCCGGTTCATGATGCGTCCAGAAAACATAAACCTGGTATATATCGAAACGTGTAAAAAATATACCTCCAAAACATATGGGACCGCACATACACACAACACGTGAATCAGAGCAAAAACACAGCAAGCGCAAAAGCAAACGAGAAATACCACCATATCACGGTCACACTTTTTCCGAAGCAGCAAATCCTCGACGGCAAACAGAATGTCTCTTGTCAACCACACCCGCAATCTGCCATGCCTACAATAATCGATGTGGTACAGGTTTCTCTCGTCTCGCTTGCTGGCCTCAAACGAAGCAAGAGCGGCGTCTTAGGCGCCAAATGTATTCCGTATTCCTTGTGCCACCACAGCGCACATCCGCGCAGTTCTATGAGAGTAGCTCCTCTTCCAGTCCTCTCGGACACGGCACCCCTGTGCTATTGCCGCCTTCAGCCAAGCTTGGCAGGCGACAGAAACGTGAGACGGAACTACAATGCCCACACTCTATGCACTCAACGAATGCCTTCGGCTTCCGCGGCCGCTTGCTACCACCGCTGCCCCCTCAGCATCACCACCAACGGTCTAGCAGTTGGTGCAGCGTGATTGGCGACAGGAACATTGCTGCAGGTTCTCTACTCGCCTCCACTCCGGGTGTAGCCACCTCTCCAGCTGCTTGCGCAGCACGGACGGCGGTTCAAGCCCACCCCTTGCCTCCATCCCACACCCGATCCCCTGTCCCCCCCCTGCAAGGCAAGGCCTCCAACAGATTGTGGCGCCCATAATAACAGGCTACATCTCTCCAACCGAGTCCTCCCTCATCCCCGCCGCCAGTGCTCGTTGTAAAAATTCTCCAGCTACGGTGCTGTCCTACAGACTCCGGGCGAGCCCATTTCTCTCGCCTGTGCCTACTTGGTCGATGGCGGCCGGACACTGCGGATGAACGGGGCAACTCGGCTCCCAGTCCGCCGCGGCCCGCTGGACCAGATCCACAAGGTATTCGTTGTAGTGCCGTCCTAGCAGGCAAGACACGGTTCTTGACCATCATCGTCAAGTTCCACCGGAGGTAGAATTCCAGCTGGCGATGCATAGTAGCTGCCTAGTAGGGTGCGCAAGTATCCGCGAAAGCCCTGTGTTGTACCACGAGAACAGCGGTTGGGCGCGACAAGAGGGTTGGCAGCCATTGTAGAAACGGAGAGGGGCGAAATACAAGCGATGTTGACTTTGATTGGATTTGGCACCAACCCAAGGGCGCCCATCATTCACACATGGAGCACACCAGATCAATCGGAAGTATATTGGGCGAAATAAATCCGGGTCCAGTTGTCGCACAGAGCAGCGGTTGGGGTTGGTCTCCACCAGCATGCAACGCGGTCTACCTGTACCTTATAGTCTATTTACATAGGCACATACATATGCTGTTGTAGACTCCACAGTAGTAGAGCCGACACATAGACTATACCCTGTATCGTCCGTACCTAAAAAAAACCAAATCATGGTTGGCGAGATGATAAACTACATCGTGGGCCCTCAACAGCGCCGGTTGAATAACGCAGGTGGCCCTTATTCACTGCTGTATGTACAGTAGTACATCGTCCGTCAGGATCGCTCGATCGGTATAGCAGCGGCGCAATCTGGCAGCTGGCCACCGCCACGCGCGCGCATCCAGTGGTTCTGTCTCGCATCCTACACCTGGATAGACTGCGCTTCGGATACGTCAAATCTCTCTGAATTGTAGGTTTATAGATTAGCAAAACTCACGTCGGAGAGCGATTTCCTCTGACGTTTATCGTGCTCTCTGAACACTTGGAGAAGGACCTTCCGTGCGACCAGGCATAGCGGTCACGCTAGACCACAACATACCAAATGACTTTGGGCTGGGTACGTATCATTTCCATGTTTTTGGTGTTTCGCAAGCTTGTGCTTCAGCACATCTTTCTGGCTGCAACGACCCTTTTTTCACGCTTCCTTCTGAGGAGACTCGACGATAGACTACTGATTTTCGGCCCGAAAAAATCCGAGGACGCAGGCTATTTCAGCGGTCCCCAGCGGTGCCGGTTCGCAAAACAATATTCGCCTCTTTAATAAAAGCACCAAACTTCAAACAAGGCATAGACTACATAATGGTGTACACCGGTGTACTACAGCACAACCAACATCCTGCGATGGCCAAGCAATTGCTGTGTATATGCTCCAGTAGAGCATGTCGGGAAGCTGGTGGCATGCCCAGCCTTGCCCTACGGTCGGATGACCGGGAGGGCGGGTTGGCGGAGATATTTAGGTGGAGATGAACAGAAGCTTGGCGGGCGTGTGTCTCTCGTTCATTTCTCCCAAGACCAGTTGAAAGCCAACAAGCCGAATCAGAGTAGTAGCGGTTGCCCTCCGCTTGGTAGCGCACGCAAAGATGCTGTCGTCCCAGATCAGACCGGCGAACAGACAAGGGAGGCGACAGCAGGAGCCTTGGGGAAGTTGCGGAAGGCCTAAGCTCGGTGTGCTGTATACAGGAAAAAGAAACCTCGAGACAACGAGCTGGGGCATCGGACTTGGCTTGAAAAATTGCGGCTGACTGAAGGACGACGTCATCTCTTCACTGAGAAATGATGTTACTTGTTTCGTTTCAATACTGGTCGCCACCCATATCACAACCGGCGGTTGCGTTGTCGTACACACTCCAGGGCG